ATCATAGTCTTCATCTCCACTCGTCCAGTTATTGAAGTTTTCTTTAAATTTTTTGCGTTCACACACACTACACCAGTGTTTTCTTGTGAATTTTCTGCAACAATGTGGACAGAATTCTGTTTTTTTCATATTAATATAAGTCTCTTTTAAAAATTTTGCTTATGTTTATTCCGGAGACGTCTTATAATTTAATGAAGAGAGAAATTATTTTTTTTTAAAGTTCTAAATTAACTCGTCTTTTTATACACGCCTAAATTTATTTATATCCTTCATAAAAGCCTGCTTGGCGTATTCATAATAAAATTAGTCCGTTTTTACAATTATTTATGTCTTTCTATATCTTCCTAGCATCGGAGCCTACTGATTATCGATATGGAACAAAGAATATCGATATAGAACAAAGAACATCGATATAGAACAAAGAATATCGATATGGAAAGTTCGAATTTTGATATGATGACGATAAGAAAAATTTGGTACAGGACCATAACGATAGCAATCGATAACATACATAATCCAACTGCATAAATGAAATAAATACAATAATATACATGTATAAACGTAATAAGAATTTATTCTAAATGTTTGGAGAATCTAAAAATTGACAAATACATAAAATACGTATACCGTACTAAATTAATCAATGCGCTTGCGCTTGCTCATATGAGATGCTACCTAGTTTTTCTTAATAATATACTTTTGTTGTATAGGGTGAAATGAATGGAAATGAACGAAAGAAATGAAATGAGTGTATTCTATTTATGTATGTATATATATTTTTTGAAAATGCAAAAAAGAGTGTAATAATATACAAGTGAAAAAAAAGGGATGGGATGAATGTATATTTGGCAAAGGTTTATTTAAAAGGGTTATGATTGATTGATGTGATTTTTTGAAATGTCTGTAAAATTAATTATATCGGTGTGACAATATTTTATAATCTTTCTCAACCTCATCTTCAATAGAAAGTATAATACTTTTGCGGGAGTTCCTTCGAATGTCTCGTCTCTGCGTCAACACTACTCATCATAGCAGTCGGTGAAGTCAACGTAGAACTCCCTGCCTCTATTCCATCATCATCGCATATCTTCCTCGCATAGATACGATAACTCTCCGCATAAGTGTTTTGCTCGTTGAACTCATGCGCGGCAAACTCTATCAACTCCTGGAACTCGGCCGACGTTAGACCCATTCGATCAATGATTCGTGTCTCGAGAGATCGTATTAGCGAGACGAAAATGTCTGCGGCTACTTTCCCAATACGACCGCCCCAGTCGCCGACAGGGTTTGGCCGGTGTTCGAGAACGATATTGTGAAGAGCGGGCGTGGCGTGTAGATATCCTTCAAGTTTGTGAATTATTAATGGGTTGATGAAGCGAGAGTTTAGATCTTGAAGCCCTGATACAATAACGATAGAAAAAGAGAATTAGAGCTAATTCATTGAGACGCGCATCTAGAAAATAAAACTTACATGCATTCAAGAATATTCTCCCGTTATTTCCTAAATGCTTAAACTGTAAGTCTGCCTCCATAATCTCAATATATCCTCCCGGTTTCACCAGGCGCGTTAATTCTGGTATAACCTTGTGCTCCCATTCATCTTCAGTGAACGCAATACACAAAAATCGCATATGTACAAAATCGAATGTATCATCTAAATAATATACACACGTGTTTAGTACATGTATGTGTGTAAGAAGCAGGCCGCGCGGAATAAAAGTAGCGTGGCATGTCGTAGGTACATGTATTTGGTAAATACTGTATAAATATTGATGAATCTAAATTAAAATTAAATTAAATGAAACGTACCATCAAAAGGCAGCCCATCAAGGATATTTGCTTTGGTGAATTGTGTGTTTCTTGGTTTTAGTTCGGGAAACATGCTTGGGAAAATATCGATTCCCGTGAAATGACATTTCGGAAATTCAGAGCTCATTTCAAGTAGCCATGTTCCTGGTCCACAGCTATGAACGAAATTAAAATTTATTGTTATTACATTCCAAAATGACATAAAAATAAAAGACTTCATTACTTAGTTGATTAGTTATCGGAGAATGATATCGTTACTAACCCAACATCAAGGACTTTTACACTTTTATCATTTAACATTTTCTTTTCCACCAATGCCGAGAAATTACTCTGCCATATATACCGATACATATAATGCTGCATAGTTAGTCGCTCACATTCTTTCTCGTCTGGCGGTAGACAGTAGGCGGAGTTTCGCGAATTATGATATCGTTGTCCGTCGATGAATCGATAATGTCGCCTTGAATATTTTTCTTCTGTGGTTTTTTCATCGTCGTCAGAGTCATAGATATTATTTGAATTGATTCTTTTCATTTGACAATTTCCCATTATAATTGTTTGATTAATGTTATTTATTTTTGGTATTTATTATCTACTATTAATTATTAATTATTAATTATCTCTTTTTTGTCTTTATAAATTTATCGACCTGATGTAATTAATTCTCTCTTTCTTTGTTTTAAACAGTCGTATGGTTGCGTTATAAGAAAGCAAAACAGTAGTAAATAGAACAAAGAACTCGACCACAACAACTAACTACTAACACTTGATAGTGCCTTTTAAGATAGCACAAATAGTGTCTATTGGAAAAAAAATCAAAAAAAACCCTCCATCATCGACATATTACAATATTTCGTGTGAGAATCGTAATGAAAAACACACAGCTAAAGAAATGGAAAGAAAGAAAATAGGCAAACCTTACATATTTATCAAAAAAAAAAATTCATTTAATGTCGGATAGATTCCCATATTCTATCATATTGGGCAATACTAATAACCGCCGCCGCCGTCGCTTGTGTAACAGGTTTATAGACAGAAAGAATGTGTTTCTTATACATGTACTTCTCGTTATTGTATTTGTATGCGGGATTTTCGCGGGGTGTGCTTGCATAACACTATTACTATATCCGATTACCATCTTTTAAATGTTATCTTCATGAGTACGATAATAGATGTTCAGAGAAGATGAATACGAAGACGATAATATTAAGCTACGTATGTTAATATTATTAATATTAATATTATTATTACTTGGCACGCAATTAATTTTAACTTTGATCAAGTATTCTTTGTTTTTTTTTGTCATTGTACGTAGAAGCTTTATTCAGAATAATATGATTCCTGATTTAATGCTCAAATTACTATTCTTTTCTCCTTAATACATGTAATAATGTTCTTTGTATCCTTCTTTGATTGGAAAGGAACAACGTCGTCATCATAATCATCTGTCTATGTGTCATGGTTTTTACTTCTTTTTCTGCTTCTTCAGGGGTCGATCAACAATGCACAAACGTAACAGACATGATAATATACATGTACTTTGAGGATAATACAATATGCATCATCTGCATTAATGAGTTAATAGAGCCAGATGGATGAGAAAATACACTAACGTTAATGAGTGAATGATTGAATGCAAGCATGCTTTGCTCTCTTTGATGATTGTATAATCACAAGAAGCAAATGGTAAACTGTGATTAGAATCGAATTTAAAAAGAAAAGAAACGTGTTTATTTTTAATCAAATCTGGTTTCGGATAATACATGTGGCAAAAATTTGGTAACACACTTACTAGGCATGTTTTCTTTGTCGTTCGTCAACTTGAATTGTTTATTACCCAATGTTCTAGTTTTTCATCAAGATTTTTCCCATAACGATAAAATCTCTATGACGACTCGATCGTCTATACTCTTAGCGTTAGTAATCACTGTGACAAATAAGGCAATTCATTATGTGTGTTTTATCGGAACTTGGATGTGAGCTAAAAATAATCATAATCTCTATTAAATAAAAGTTCGCACAAAATTTTGTTGGTTAACGTCAAGTCGATCTGTCTACCAACATGCACGGATCGAATATAAAAACCGTTTACGCGCAGAAAGTTAATATTATATAATGAAATCTAAAATTTTTCCTATTCATAGAGAACAATCGTAACAGTCAAACTTCAAACAAATTTGATTCTTTCTATAATGAAGAATTGTTTTGACTTTTATTCATTTTTTTCTGTCAAGATAAATGTACAGTACATGTAGTAGGTCAAATGACACTCACCCAAAAGAACATCATTCATCACGAAACTGTTGTGTCACATAACTCGAACGCAATGTTATCAATCACTCGCTATTATCATTATCGTTATGATTCTTTACCGTTACACACAATATTCATTATTACATGCAGTTTTAGTTTTTAATGCGATGATTGTGAAATTAAACTTTAAAATTAAGGAGTTGCTATAAAATCAATGGACAAATGGAGTATCTCAGTAAGGTTTTATTTTCCGAAGAGACAAGAACATCTGACTAACCAAATCAATTGAACTATTTCCGAACGTGGATCCAAAAAATTATTATGTCATTATTATTTACTATATTCGGCATAAGTTTAAAAATTTTCAAGGAGCATATCTTTAATTGATATGTTTCATTGAGAACAATCCAACCATTATAATAATAGCAATGACTCAGATTATCTTTACATAAATATCTCTTGGTATTCGAACCATTTTAGATTTAGACTCTTAACTTTAAACAACATCTTATAAATTTAAAGAGCATCATATGGACTTTATTGTCATTTTCTATTTTTTCAAAAGCATTAAGATTGACGGAATTTTTCCTTCACAATTTATTATATTGTTCATACTAAAGCCTCTCAATTGTTGCACAATATATACGAACATATAATAAGTTTAGGTAAAATCTATATCTGGTGAAAATTAATTTCGGAATTGACTTTCTAAAATCTTGTCTTATATCGAATAAATCTCGAAAATTAGTTCAGAATGCAATAATCATTTTTTCGTTTTTTGGATACCGCCCAATGCTCGCTTTCCACGATTCTTAAGCAGTTTGTGATTGTTATAATTGCAGATAAAAGAGAATCTAATTGTATCCACAAAAATGTATTTCAAGGCAGCCAAACGTTTCAAGTTCTCCCAAAATGCTGAAAAATATATATAATTATGGTAAAATGTCTAAGCTTATACTACATTTTTCATACATATACAGTAAGCTAAGTACAGACATTTGCATTAATCTATTAGTTTGTTAGATTTACCGTTACTTTTGAAGATTATGTTTAAAAAAGAATGAAATTCTTTTCAATAGGCAAAAGATTGCTATTACAAAAATGAAATCACAGTTCTTGATTGGTTATCTCAGGTTTCTGACTTGAATCCTATTGAAATCTATGGCATCAAGTCGTGGAAACTCTCTATATTAATAAATTATGAATAATATTGACATGGATTTTTGTGAAAGATTAATTGAATTTAATGATATAAGTCAAAGAAAAAAGTATAATTCCAGTTTATAATATATCATGGTTATTTTTTGACTGAAAAACTGTCCTTGAATATTTTGATCAAAATCGGGCATATTATATCATATACAAAATATCAAAACCTTTTATTTTTTATTTTGATTATATTGAAGATGAACTTGTAAAAAAATGTTTATTGATATTTTAATTATTTTAATGAATATAATTTAATTAATTATGATGCAAACAATTCTTTAATATTGAAATATTTGAATCTCATCAATTTTTTGTGTACAATTTCGAATATGAATCACTGTATATCAGTGGCATAATTCAGTTATAAATGTTACTAACTAGATACATACTTCTAATAGAATAGAATATTTTTTTATTAAAAGTTTTATCTTGGAAATATTTAATATAGATCAAAATTTATCAATTAAAATTTTAAATTTAAATACATAACTTAATTTCACAAAAATGACTAAAGTAATATTCTACTAAATAATTTATAAATTATTAGATATTTTGAAGTCAAACGAGTGTTTATTTATTTATTTGTAGTAATATTTTAAAGTTTTTAAATAAAATTTTAGAGTAGAGCTCAAAAATATTTCAAAAATTTTAAACTTTTTGAAAAAGCATTTTTATAAGAATTTAGTATAATTTAATAAGCCTATTGCTGAATATTAAATTCTAAATTTTGGTATTCAATTATTTTTTTAATAAAATTCTCAATAACTGTTTTATTAATTTTTTTGCTACTATTATAAAATACTTAATTCGTGATCCGTGATAGAAGTAAACTGATAAATTCAAAAAGTGAAATCTGCATTTGCCCCATAGCTAAATTATGAATTATAAAGAAAAGGACATTTTTTATTTTCATAGATTTAAATTAGATTACTTTAGTGCTTTATTGCAATTTTAGTTTGGTATTTCTATACTTATGATGTTACATAATTGTTTATTGAATTTGTTCAACCAGAATTTTTTTAATAATGAGTTCCTCTAGATTTTACTAATTAATTTTTTTTTAATTCTATCACAAATCACGAATTAAATTTATCTAAATTTAAATTTAAAAATTGTAATTTAAAATTTATTTATTTTTTTATTGTATTTTGATTAATATATTATATAAAAATTGATTTTAAAATTCAGCTCTTATTTAAATTTTATTAAAGTAATTATAAACTTCTAAAATCTAGATTTATATTTTACTATCTATGTTAAAAATTTCAAGGTAATTGTTCTTCAATTTAACAAGTTACAGGCCAGTTGGATACTTTGGCCACTGTATCATTTTGTTTTTATACCAAATTACACCAAATTATAGCCAATTAATGGCAAGAACAATTTAACTTAATATCATATTTTTATATTATTAACTCTGGGATGTATTTGGCTTGCTTAATTCTCCAATGAAATATCTATTAAATAAAAATATTTTATAACTAATTAATATTTTTGATTGTTAATGGTTAAAGTATCAGGACAGAGTTTTTTTACTTTACGCAAAATATAATGTAACAATAATTGAAGAAATTTATATCAATCTATAACTTACATTTTCAAGAATTTGCATATAAATTTTAGAACATCCAGCTTTCGGGGGACAATAAATAATTACAAAAAAAGCAATTGCAAGTAAAATCAATTTTGCTGAACTTTTAACTTTAAGTTTTAATTTTTATTTCAGTATGGGATTGGCCACCCATTATTAGAAATACATGCCTCAAGCCTTCTTGGCATGCTCTCAATTAAATTTGAATATGTTTTATAAGGGATTCGAGACCATTCCTTTTTCGGAGCAATCTCTAAAGCTTTGGCATTTTGGGAATGTTGTTTATAGTTTTCAGATGCCTTTCAAGTTCATTTCAAATGTGTTCAATTAGATCAAGGTCAGGAGACTGAGACGGTCAATCAGGTAGAATTTTTATTTCTCCTCCATAATCCAATTGCTGCTGTATGCACAGGGGCATTAGCATCTTGAAAAGCATAAATTTTATCATTAAAG